AATTTGTCACATTAAAATTTAAATTTAAAATATAAAATTTAAAAAGTTTAACATTTAATTTGTTTAAATTTTCTTCAAAATTTTATTAACATTTTATGTAAATTTTATTAACATTTGTATGTAGTTTTTTTTTACAACATTTGTATGTAGCTTTTTTCACAACATTTGTATGTAGTTTTTTTTACAACATTTTTATGTAGTTTTTTTTTACAACATTTGTATGTAGTTTTTTTTTACAGCATTTGTATGTAGTTTTTTTTTACAACATTTTTATGTAGTTTTTTTTTACAACATTTGTATGTAGTTTTTTTTACAACATTTGTATGTAGTTTTTTTTTACAACATTTTTATGTAGTTTTTTTTACAACATTTTTATGTAGTTTTTTTTACAACATTTGTATGTAGCTTTTTTCACAACATTTGTATGTAGTTTTTTTTTACAACATTTGTATGTAGTTTTTTTTTACAACATTTGTATGTAGTTTTTTTTTTACAACATTTGTATGTAGTTTTTTTTTACAACATTTGTATGTAGCTTTTTTCACAACATTTGTATGTAGTTTTTTTTACAACATTTTTATGTAGTTTTTTTTTACAACATTTGTATGTAGTTTTTTTTTACAACATTTGTATGTAGTTTTTTTTTACAACATTTTTATGTAGTTTTTTTTTTACAACATTTTTATGTAGTTTTTTTTTACGACATTTTTAGGATCCTCACCACGTCCCTGGTAGTACCGCGCTCAACTCGTTTCTCCGCGCAGCGGCCTTGTTCATCAAGGTTCGTGTTTCGGAGTTATAGAGTTGAGAGAGGGTTATAGCCACAAATAAGTAGCCTCCTCGTCTGTAGTGGCCTTCTCGGCCTTGAGGAGGTGAATTAAAATAAAATATATTATTAGTATTAACTATATAATTCAACTCAATTACAACTAGTATGCATAATTCCTCAATATACATAAATTTTTGAAAGAGTTTTACAAATTTTGCTATTATTGCAATAAAAAATTAATTTTTTGGGCACAATTAAATATTTTAAAATTTTTAAGAATATTTTGTATTGAGATCATAATTGATTGCCTAAACTTTATTTGAATTAGAATTTTGAATATAATTAAAATATAATTTGAATTAAAAATATTGACATCATTTTGCATTGATTGGTATCATAAACTTTTCAATATTACATTTTAAATATCTTAATTTTTAAAAGTACTTAAAACTTAATACTTTTATTTTTTACTATTTTTTATTTTACCATAAATTTTTTACGTTATTATTTTTACAAAAGATATCTTGCATTCTCGATGTAACTTACTAATCATAATTTTTTTTACATCTAATCCATTTCCAACAAGGCTGCAAACAACCACTATTGAGTTAGGAGTTACTAGAAAACAAAAAATAGAGCAAGGAAACGGTTGACAAATGACTTAAAAAGTTGTAGGTTTTATGAGTCAGGAAAACATGAAGATAGGAGAGAGTTCTAAAGGGTCAAAGTGCAGGGGGGGGGGGACATAAAATTTGTTAACACAAAATTTTTTGAGCATGCAAAGACAGATATAATAAAGGATATAAATGACAACTCAAGCAAGAATAAGTTTTGGTGAATAGAACTAGAGATAGTAGTTCTTTTGAGCAGCCACCATAATAGTATTTTTAAAAAAGAGGAAGAGATGCAACTTTACGACGATGGGAAAGAGGTAAAAGCTTGGCAGATAAACCAGTTTCAACTCAATTTACAATTACCGTTGCTTAACTTACTTTTTTTGATGTTTAAGATTTTTAAAAGTCTCTAGAGCCTAACTTCTGAGATTTTATTTACTTAAAATTTACTTTAATATTTTCTAAAATTTTACTTACTAATCAAACTAAAATTTTCTTCTATATTAACTCACTGTTATATAATATATTTTACTTAATTATTATATTATTAATTATATATTATTAATGTTATATAATATATATTACTTAATTTAGAATTTATTCAAAATTATTTAAATATTTTTATTTGAATTACTTCATTAAGAATTTAAATAAAATGTGTGTTTTGTTTTTTGTGTTTTTGAACTAATTTGTTCAGAATTAAAATAAAACGTAATTGCGAACAACCACTGTTGTAGGTTGTATAAAAAAGGAAAACATGAAGAGAGGTAAGAGTTATAATGTTTTTTTGATGTGCAAAGAAATAAGTTTTATTGTCTAACAAAAATTGTGAATTTTAAGTCCAGAATTTAAATGCATAAGCCACTGCACACCTAAGGCTGTTACAAAATAGAGATCAGATTAAAAATCGACTGCTTGTTCTAAGCAATCAAAAAGTGAAGATTTTTTGTCAAGACAAGAGTATAAAGTTGAGTTGTCAGCAAATAGAGCCATTTTAGATGTAAAATTTTCTTGAAGATTAATACTGTAGATAAGAAACAATACAGGAACAAAGATAGAACCTTTTGGTACCCTTTTAGTTACTTAAAATAAAAAAGAGTGTATACTTTCAAGAATAACTTTAATACTCCAGTTAGAAATAAATTAATTAATCTCAAAACCTACATATAAGAAACTAATAACAGAGTAAAGATTATTTTTTATCTTTTCGATCGCCTAGAACAAGCAGCTGATCTTGAATCCGATCTCACTTCAGTAATAGATTGGGGTTCACAGTGGCTTAGGAATTTCAACTCTAACAAAACCCAGTTGTTTACTGCAAACAACTACCGTAATATGGTCAACATTCCTATATTAATGATGGCAATCCTCTTACTGAGTCCTCCTCTTTATGTCTTCTTGGATTATCGCTTACTACTGACCTTTCATGGTAAACCATATATACAATCGATTGCTAAATTAGCTTCTGCTAAGGTTGCTTCTCTTTATCGTGCTCGCTACCTCCTTACTTCTGATTCCATTCTCTACCTCTACAAATCTCTTATTCGTCCCTGTATAGAATACTGTTGTCATATTTGGGCTGGTTCTTCTAATGATTCACTTTCTCTTCTTGACAAGGCCCAAAAACGCATTGTAAATGTTGATGGACCTGGACTATCTGCTAAGCTTGAGCCTCTTTTCCATCGTCGTAAAGTTGCATGGTCACTACTCAAAGGAGTTATCATTTCTAGTTCCATCAACTAAAATTCATTCTCGTTTTACTCGTCATTCAGCTAAGTCTCATTTGTATACTGTATCTGTCCCTGCATGCTCTAAAAACTTTTATTCATCTAGTTTTTTTCCCCGCACTTCAATCCTTTGGAACTCTCTCCCATCTTCATGTTTTCCTGACTCATATAACCTTCAACTTTTCAAGTCTTCTGTCAACCGTTTCCTTGCTCTATAACTCTGTTCTTTTTTTTCCTAGTAACTCCCAACTTAATAGTGGTTGCTTGCAGCCTTGTTGGGAGTAAATGCAAATAAAAAAAATAAAAAATTTGTAGGATAGTTGGAGAGGTCAAAGTATTTTCTAGAGTTTTGAAAAATTAGAACCATTTATTTAGAACTTTTTAAAAATTTAGCAAAAATTGAAGAGAGTTCTGGAGAACACTTTTTAAAGACTATGATTGAAATCTTTTCTGCAGCACAAACTTCTAGAAGTTTTTTATTGAGAATTAACTTTAGCATTGAGTGTTTTGGATGTTTAACAATTGGTTAATCTGTTGAACTGACTGGAAGAGTATGGTCATTATATTCAAGAGTCAAATTAGAGTGAAATTTCTTTGCAAATAACTTTGAGATTAAAAGTTAGACTTACTTTAGTTAATGACTTTGTTGAAGAATAACCAAAAGTCTCTAGAACTTGACATCTTATATAAGATACAAGATTTAGTAAACTGAAAATAACAAGACTTAACATCAGATAAGATCTTTTTACATTAGCTTCTTGGAATATTAAAAGGACATTTGCTCTTAAGAGAGTTGTTCTTGTAAAAAAGATGAAAAAAATAATTAATGTTTAATAAAGCAACTGCTCAAGATGGTGGAAAATGCAGAGTAGAATGAGGCTTGACTTAAAATTGAAAAGTAGGATTAAAAGCTTACAAACTTTTAGTCCAGAAGGAATAAAAGCATCTAAGATGCGCTTCATGGATACATATTATGGATATAAACATATATGTTTGCTATTTATTTAGATGCAGGCATACAATATCCTTACATATTTATATAAACTTTAGTATTTATATGGAGTAGTATTTGCGAAAGAGAAGTTGATCAGATGATGATTATGATCATGATAATGATGGTAATGATGATTATGATCATGTTGATCATAATGATGTTTATATATGCATATATATATATATATATATATATATATATATATATAAAATATGCATATATATATATATATATATATATATAATATAGCATAAATTTTGAATTAAAAAATATACTTTAGGATGTATAAATGTTTATGCAGCCCCGGTCACAAACACCGGACCCTGCCCCAGCCCGAGCTATATTTTTACAAATCCGGCCCCGCTCAAATATAAACCCCTTAATATAAATTTTTAATTTTAAATAACTAAAACAATAATGCTGTAAAGCTATGACTATCAACTAGATAGAGATTGGTTGTTACTAAAACGCTGCAATATGTTATCAACACAATTCTTATAATACCACGACACAATTCTTATCCCTAGCAAAAAAGTTACAATATAGCTAGCTTCAAAGCTTTATAATGTATTTTTTTTTCTTCAAAGCTATTAATTTATCATTATATCAATAATAGGTAAAGTGTTGCAAGATGTAGCAATTGACATAATACTGCAACATTCTTATATTATCATTAGCAAAAAAGTTACAATATATAGCAAGTAACTAGTTATACATTTGTTGTTATATTGTAGTTAGCTACAAAGTAACTATTGATGTTTTGCAGCTATCGACATATTGTAGGCATATCAAATTGCTATAAAACTTGTTAGTGACAAATTCTCAATAGGATTTATTAGAGCAGCGCACACCTAAATTTGCTAAAGTATGTATATATAAACATTAAAACAAATAACCTTGTTTGATAGTAAAAAATCCAAAATGTCCAAAACATGATATTTCAAGATTATTGCTACATCTAAGTTCAGTAATTTCTCAGCAACAATCCTTTTATCAGCAGAAGATGCATTGTCTTTCACCAATTGTTGCAATTTCTTTCTACCTTTGCTTATCATTATCAACTCATTTTCATTTTCAAATAAAGGTTTTTTTAATTTATCCACAACAGGTGTAATAGATGAATCATATAAATCATCATTGTTATAACTTACAAACTCATCATGCTGTAAATATTTGTTAGAAAGATCATTTAAATAGAAGAAAGGTTCATTAACCTGATGTGCCTGTAATGATTTTAGTCTATCTGAGTCCCTGTTAAAAAGTGGGTTAAAAAAACTTAATGAACTGCTGTAAGAAAACTTCTCTGACATATTAGAATCAATATTTATTTTCTCTTTAATTTCTTTCTCATCTCCATGTAAACTTAAATTCTCTTTCTCGTATTCATGAAGACCCAGATTGCGAGATAATGATTTATTAAAAAGAAAGTTAGAAGGTAGCTTTTCATCTTTGTATCCAATTTTTGACATACATGAGTCATTGTTTCCTAATGAAGAACTATTTCTTGGACGTGGAACTGGTACAGGACGTGGAGGTGGTATAGGTTTTTTTATATCTGTAACTAAACTTTGATGATCACTCAAATTTAAATTTAAACTTTTGTCCATTTTTATAAAAAAGCTGACAAAACTTATTGAAATCTCTTTACCAAAACATTCCTATTTCTGTTCATAAAATAAAATAAAAAATCATT